AGAAGCACCTTGACTGTCCAGACCACTCGTCGGTTCATCCAAGAAGAGTAGCAACTTTGGCTTTGCACAAAGTTCCACTCCGATAGTAACACGCTTCTTCTTTTCAATGTCGAGAGATCCGACCAAAGCATTCTGCAACTCCACCAGATCGAGCGTTTCCAGCACCGAATCTACGTAGGACAGCTTTTCTTCCTTGGACACGTCGCGTCCTTGGCGTAGGAGGGCGGAGAATTCGAATGCTTCGCGGATCGTGCTCGTGTCATCGTGGATGTCCATTTGTTGGCAGTAACCAGTTTGTCGGTTGAACGAACGATCAACGGGACGTCCATCGACAAACATGGTGCCATTCAGATGGCCCGAGTTTTGTCTTTGGGTCAGAGCAGTCAAGACTAGACAAATGTCAGCAAGGCGACAACAATCAAACATCAAGGGCACATACGAGTCGACTTTCCAGCACCAGAAGTCCCAACCAAAGCCGTCATCGTCCCCGGCTTGCAATAACCACTCACGCCACTCAACAGTTTCCTCGTCTCTTTTCCAACCTGTACGTGAAGTTCCAGATTATCCCAAGTAAACGAAGACTTGCTACCACTGAGAGGCCCAACGAGCTTATCATTAACAGAGCCAGGGTACGCAGGCGGGCTGACATCGTCTCCGATGGGGGCATTCTCCTCGTCGCGAGCGTTGTCACCCTTTTTCAGCGGCTGCTTTCGAGACTTCTTGTACTGGATTGGACCTGCGCTTTCTGGTTGCCATTCCATGACTTCACTGAGCCAGCATGTAATGAGCGTGTAAGCAACCAAGAAGAGACACAAGATACCAAAATTGCGCCAGAGATGGCTGCTGTGAAAGCCATATCGGGTGGACAGATAGTCATCTCCATTGATCAGGGTAGTTCCCACCCGGTTCGCCTGGTACGCGCACGTCTGATAAGCGACGTCCGTGTATCCAGGACCAGAGGGAACCACTGATTCTGGAGAGCAGCTGAAGTTGGAGTTTTGAAACTCGGCAATCATCACCGATTCATAGGTGAAGAGAGTCGGCGTCGTGAACTGTCCTGCGTTAGCCTATATGGCTTAACATGCTGGAGACTCGACATACCGCTATCCATCCAACCCATGGCACATCCGAAATTAACTTGTCCACCGGCAGAAGATAACCACTGAACACGACGGAAAAAAGCACCGACACACCACAGTAACGTAAGGCCACCGCATAGTCTGTCGACAGCGAAGCAAAGACTCGGAATTGACCGGTCTGAGCTACCGTAGACAAATAGATGAACAAGAAATCAATAAAGAATGGGCCAGCCTGTTGTTCCACCGGGGTGAACGGTCAGCGAGTGTTCTCTCTTTCGAGAGAGATAACGACGAAATCCAACAAGTCCGAGCGAGTCTCACATTTGTTTTTAAGCCCGCCAGGAAGTAAACCACAATCATATAAAAAGCGGTGATCAAAAGCGATACCACAACATCCGAAACGACACGAGCAAGGCAGACTGCGCTGGGGCGGACAAAGGCGAATTTCTTCTGTCGACTGATGATGTCGCGACCCTGCATGGCGTCTTCCAACTCGGACATTTGCAGCCATGCCAGCAAGATCGAGGAGTAAAACAGCATACCACCACGCGAGTACATACCATCGGTGGTCTGCGGCTGATTGTAAAACATCGAACCAATCAACAAGCCATAAACGATGGCGGATATGAGCTTGATGTACAGCGGTTGTGGGTTTCCCTTAAGCTGCCAGAACTGGCGCTTGGTACACAAAGCCACCTGACGGAAGAGAGAAATCGTGTAAGACGATGTGGCGGACACGAACCGCGACTTGTCGGTCTGAACCAGAGTCTTGAAATCTTCCAGGCTTCCGCAGTCCGAATTGGTTAGGGTTATTTGGGAATCCTTGCGCGCGAAGCGCTGAGCTTCATAAGATTGAATATCCTGCTGGATTTTCGCAAAAGCCTGGCTCTTTCGAAACGCTTCCTCAAGCTCGACAGGGCCCTTAGGGGCGCGATGCTCCCAGCCCGGGCGGAAACGGCGTCGCTCGGGGACTGTGATGCTGGTGAGGAAGTCGGAGGTCGTTTGCATGTCTCCACATTGGTATCCCAGTTCTTCAAAGTAGCGTTTAGCGTCTTGCGCTGGGCCCTGAAACAACATGCGACCTTCGTCGACCAGGAGCACCTTGTCGACAAGTTCATAGATGGCATCCGAGGCTTGGTATAGCGTCAACAGAGTGGCCTTCCCGGCCGTATCGGTCATTATGCGCAGACTGCGCGCATAGTCCAGGGCGGACGAGGCGTCCAGACCTCTGGTGGAATTATCCCAGCACGTCACGCACGAGTCCGTGGCGAGCGACTCGATGATAGAAATACGCTTCCGCTCTCCACCAGACACGCCACGAATGTACTCATCGCCAACCAGAGTATCCATTGTGTGCGACATGCCAAAAATGCGTCCGTAAATGTCAAGGTATCGCGGGATTCGATCGCGGTATCTCTTGGGAGTCTTGCACTGCAGCGCAAATTCCAAGGTCTGTCGAACGTTCATAGTAGGGAAATGCACATCGTCTTCGGGAACGTAAGCCACCTGGCCACGAAAGTGCTTTTTCAGCTCGTCAGAGCTGAGGCCAGAGTAGTCGATGGACCCGGTGACACCTAGGTACGAGGAATGGTGGCCGGCAATGGTGCGCAAAAAGGTCGAGCATCCTGCCCCTGGGCGACCCAGGACACTGAGCCGTTAGCATCCTTCTACCAAAAGGAAGATCATAGAGCAAAAGACAAAACTTACAGCATCATCTCACCGCTGCGCACCACACCCGAAAAATCACGAATTAAAGCCCGTCCATGCTCAGGCTCTTTGTCACCCATCCACGGCTTGATAGTCCACTCATAGATATCCTGTAAAGTCAACGTCCTCCAAAACGCCGTCGCCAAGGTCTTGACATTAACCTGCGACTCCCCACCACCCCATGTCGTCAGCGACTTGAAGCTAACACCCAGATTAGACCTCTTCTTCCCGGCCTGCACTTCCGCCTCGAGGAACTTGTCAAACGACGAGTGCGGCTCCGGATACACCGGTCGCGACTCCTGCGTGTCCTGTGCATTTAACTGATTCTGAATATCCGCGATGGCTTCCCCATCCCCAACAGACAAATGTACCCGGGGCGGCGGCGAAGGCGGAGGTGAAAGAACGTCATTATCATCCTGGCCGTCCTGCGGCGAGGCATAAGGATTGCCCTGCAAATAGGGCGAGAAATGGGCTGGCATGGTGCACAACCGGACGGAGGTAGCTACTTGGCAAAGAGACAATAGAAACAAAACATGCCTTTAGAGAGGGGAGAGGGGATGGCTTTTATTATGGCCGCTACCGTTTTCCCTGTCTGTTTGTATGAAGTGTGTGGCTGCCATGTCGGCGTAGGATTGGCCACCAATCATGTAGATCCAGTCCACAGGAGTTAATCTGAAGAGGAAGCCAAGTTTGCAGGCGTTCTGGACTTTTTTTCTTTTTCTTTTTTTTTTTTTTTTTTTTTTTCCAATGATATTCCACCATAACCAAGCAGGTCAACCCGTGGCTGGAATCCGGAGATTCAACAATGCAGGTGAGCTTCCTAAAAGGGAAGGCCATCTGAGAACAACCGTTAGGGTGGCTGACTCAGCGTGTCTGGACCAATGCAGGATCTCAGATCATCTGCCGATCCGGATCTGTATTTAGAACGGTTTGTATGGTGAACACGTAAGTAATACCGCAATGGTATGTAAAATATCTTCATAGTGAATAGAGGTATTCATTTGATTTCTCATTTTGTTATATTTTGTTTTTTTTTTTTTTTTTTTTTTTTTTTTTTTTTATGTGGTGTGACTGTTCTTTATGAAGTGCATATAAAACAGCACATCTGGCCCCTAAGGCACCCCCTACCGCCCCTTCCGCAGATCGTCCGCGGATCCCGGTTCCTGAAGATACGCAATTATATGTCAGCTCTTCGTGGCATCATCTTGATATAATTACATACCACCGTTACACTGCGCAGTAGTGACATAATCCTTAATTTTAGTTACTAGAAAACAACCCAATATCCCGGGGCAAGCGTTAAAAAAAAAAAAAAAAAAAAAAAAACCCGGTTGCGTGTCCACCATTCCACCAGCCAACAACAGCCACGGAGCCCTGCATAAACCATAACCCGGCATACATATGGGGAAGTCCCAAAAAATGGCTCAGATACAGGTGCCATCGCATCATGCTGTCACATACTGATTGGCTCCGGTTTTTGATTCTCGAAATTAAACTATATCAAAAAGGAAAAAATATCCAGTCTTCCATCCGGCTTCGGCTTCGGCTTCCACCGCTTCTTTTTGCTTCTGTTGAGCATTGCTGTTTCGGGGTATTCGCGGGAGTGCACGGTGCACTTTTGTGGGGAGGATGAAGGATATGGGGTCATGAGTACGGAGGGTTCCCCATATTCGTCGATATTCGTCGATATATATGCGGACGGACTCCGTAGCACAGTGTTATATGAATGTGTTCAGATATGCGACACGCGGCACTGGCACTATTGTCAATTTTAGGTTCTTTTCTTTTGCTGTTTTTGTTTGTTACATTGTCGTACGTGTTCTGTACCCTGGCCGGTGTGGTGTATTCGTATACTCTGTACATGTACATACCCAAGCGCCCTTTGCAGGTACGCGACGATCAATCAATAGGGAGTCGAATGTCTCGGATACTTGTTTTCCAATCAAGCAAGGCTTGTGTGAGGTATGGAAGGTCTCGGATCATTCTGTACGTTGAGATAAGCAATATGCTGTGCCAGAAAATACCTCAAAAGGGATACGTGCATACATGGATATGTCCCTTGCAGTTGGCTGAAATGCACATGGCAAACTTGGGACTTTACTGACTGCACATGTGATAGATCATCGTGAACTACTTCAATAATTGTGAGTACATACATGCCTATTTCCAGACGACACATCGATACATATGCAGATATCCTACGAGGAGCCTTCCATCTCATCGCTCAACCTCCCAGAGAGCTGCTCTCGTCCGCACTCAACTGCTCCGATATGCACTTATTATAGTATTTACATCTCGCGAGAAAGTGAAAGCTACCCTCACGGGCGGTCCTACTCAATTCCAGAGCCCGTTCTTTAAATTCCGCCACCACACTCTCGTTACTGTAGAATTCCTCTTCTGTAATATCATGCCACAACGGGATCATGCCCAGCATCTCGCAGCACGGAAGTCGCCACGTTGAGATGGTGACAGAATTCAGGTGATGGAGATGCGTTATACTTTCTTTAACAAGGAATCTCACCAATTCAAACACAGACCAGAGGCAATGCGAGACCTGCAGTACCTGCAATGACTCAGGGAGCTTCGGTGTGTTGGATAGAGACCTTTGGTCAATCTTTAGATGTGTGAGACTTGTGAAAGAGGTGATTGGATCGAGCGCAGCCTGGGAATCCCAGTCTCCACCATCTAGCCCGTTAAGTTCGTCAAACTCGAGATATAGACCGTTGAGGTTGTCCTTCTGACAGAGCAGAGCCTTGCTGAGCTCCGCAGCGATCACTGGGGTGGTGTCTACATACTGAGCAATATGGAGGTCGGCCCCGTATGTGAGGGTCTTGAGACACTTGCACGCCTTTATTATACTAGACATCGCCTCCTTGTCTAGGCAGCTGTGCATCAGACTGATGGATGATGCATTGATTGATTTCGGATATAGGCCTGAGATATCCGTATAGTCTCCCACGCAATAACCCATCTTGAAGTGTTGCAGGTTGGAGAGACACAATAAAGGCAGGATTTTTTTGAGACGAATATTCACCCTATACACGCTCCGATATGTATGGATGAGCTCAAGATCGATTGACGTGAGGTTGGAGAGGTATGATCCAGCCATCTCTGAATCAAACTTGCCCACAAAATCGATTAGGCTCTCTTCCCTAAAGGATACGCTGAGCGCCTCAAGTCTGTTCAGTTTGCCGAATAACATCTTCAGAAGAACATTTATATCTCCATACAATAGGTTCTTCCGATATCTTGCCTTAACATCGTCCTCGATGCCCAGCTTCAGAATCCCAATTTGCAGAATTTCAAGAGTTTCGGCCGACAAAGTATTGCGTGCGAGTTGAGGTGCATCCCAGGATCTAACAGAGAGCTCATGAACGGCATTCTGTAGGTCGTGCCGCGAGCTGACCGTCCGAGTAAAGAGAGCCAAGGCCGCAAAATCGTTGGTGTCAGGGCCAAATGAACTCGTCTCAATACCCACATCAAATTTGCTGAAAAGGAGCCGCTGGGCGAGTTCCCTGAATGCGTGCGATACATAGCAAAGAGATAAAAGGTCGCGCCTGTCGCTAACTGGATCAAGTTTTCGGAGAACCTCGAGAACGATTTCAGGGGGTAGATGTTGAAGCATTGTGCTTTGATGCAAACGAGCGAAAGCTGGGTGATGGCCCTGAAAGAAGGTGAGGAGAATGGAAGGGAAAAAGTATCCGGTGGTGCCCTATGCGCCCTTATCGTGATCTTTATCAGGAACCGCGACTCGTACTGGTCCAGTCAGCTCTCAATTGCAATGTTTGACTCTCAACGAAGAGCTTCCGTAAAAGAAGTCACTAAAGAAAGAGATGGATCTCAATTGGAAAGGTCATAAACAGAAAATAGATAGCCAAGATGGTTGACAGGATGAGCTCCAAAGAGGAAGAAAGATGCCCGCGACTTTCACAGATTCTGCCAAGTTACTCCGCCTCTGGGATATCATATCGCCCTGAAATTCTCTCTGCATCTTCCTTCCCCTCTAAGCCTTCTCGCATCCGCCTCGACATTATATTGTAGGACATGCACTCCGCATAAAATTTGAAATCAGCACCACGGATAATTGCCTCCAATCTTTGGACCTGTTCTTTAAATTCGGTCACTTTGGACTCCTCTCCCGTGAACACTCTTACGTCAAGAAATGAAGGCTCCATGCCCAACATCGCAGTGCACGGCATGGATCGCGGAGCAACTTTGACCACTTCAAGGTTACAGAAACGCCTTTTCTTTTCTTTGACCAGGAAGTCCACTAGCTCAAAAACGGGGCGAGTGCAGGTCCTGACCCGCAGCACCTGCAATGACTCGGGCAACTCTAGCGCATCTGTTATAGTGGCCTGCTCGATGTCTAATTCTCGGAGGTTTCTCAAAGGGGCGAATGATTCAAACTTGGTGGGGCGTTCGCCTAATCCTCCTCGCCGTTCCTTCATTTCGATATGCACCTCGGTTAGAGTCTCTTCATGACAAGATAAAACGTCAAGGAGTTCCTCGGTGTTGATGGGGTCGGAGTTTTCTAGATTCTCAATAATATCGACGTTGACCACATATGTGAAGGATTTAAGACTCTCGGAAGCCATTATTAGGTCAACCATTGTTAAATGGTCCAGGCAGCTGTCCACCAGCGAAATGGATGAAATGTTCATGGCGTTTGGCAAAGTATCCTCTTCAGGTTGGTATGCATCATCACCAAGGCAACGATTCGCTCCAAAGTGTTGCAGACGGGGGAGAGCCAGCAAGGGTAATATTCTCTCAAGGTAAATGACATCCATAGCCGGGTCTTCATCCACACAGACAAGCTCGAGATCGATTGATGTGAGTTTGGAGAAATAAGGTTGAGCCATGCCAGTGTCAAACATGTTCAGCAGGCTGCTCATGTAGTATGTCACAAAGGATATCTTAAGCATTTCAAGTCTTTCCAGGTTGGCGGCCAAAACCACCAAAATAGGATTGATTTCTCCGGAAATCATATCCGTAGAGTACCTGGAATGAGTATTCTTATCAATGCCTAGCCTTTTCATTTCGTCAACCAGCGCTGTGAGGGTCTCAGTTGATAAAGATGAAGTATCCCTCCCATCATTCCATAAAATCGGGTCATCTTGACCTCTCACAATCATCTCCCGGGTCGCTTTTTGGATATCGACTCGCGAAAGTACGGTCCTCGTAAAGAGAGCAAGGGGCACGAAGTTGTTTGCATAAAATTCCCCAGGGCCTATATCCACATCAAACTTGCTGAACAAGATTGGCTGCATGAGTTGTCTGAACGCACGGGACACATGACAAATAGATAGAAGGTCTTGTCTATCAAATTCGTGGTGGAAGTGGCGGAATATCAAAAGAAGGATCTCGGGAGGTAGTCGTTGAAGCATTCTGCCGTATGCCCTAGGCCCTTGCCCTAGCCCTTATTACAATCTTATCAGGAACTGCCGTGGTTTCGGAGCCGGTGCTATGGTACAGACAGATGGCCTTGAGTGCTCTTTGGCTTTAGATGACGAGTTTAGATGGAGGATAACAACCAAAGGGACAAAAGAACGATTGGATATTATTATATGGATAATTGATATATAAGATGGTTGATCGGGTGAGTTATTGCGTTGTTGGAAAAAGGGGATCCGCGATCTTTCAACATATTCTGCCACCCGACTCCGCCTCTGCCTCAGGTACGTCATAAAAAAGCATCGGCGCATCGAACCAGCAAGATTTAGTGAGGCTGTTGGCAGGTATATTGCTAATGAGTAGTGGCTAACTGGCCGAAGACTGCGATACTGCGGAACGACAGTGAGATCGAGCCATGTGAGATTTGAAAAGTACAACGTAGCTACCGCCGCTGTTTCTGGGGATGACATTTCTGGTTCAAGAACCTGTAGGAAGCCCTCCATACTTTCATGGTGAAAGACTACCCTAAGGGTCTCAGGTCTCCTCAGGTTAGCAATCAAAAGGATCAGGAGAGGGTCAATCATTCCGGAGAACACGTTATCAATGTCTGTTTCCTTCCATTTCTTGTCAAATCTTAGCTCCCTGATTACATCGGCCAGCAAAATGTCGGTATCAGTTAACGAACCGCTGTCAAAGTTATACATAGGGACACCCTTCGATCTAACTATCATCTGATGAACAGCATCCTGCAAGTCCAGGCGCGTCAGCACCGTCTGAGCGAACAGAGTCAGGCTATCAAAGTCGTTTATTTGAGAACTAGAGGAGCTGGTTTGCTTCTCAGTGCCAAAGGCTCTGAAAAGTATTGGCTGCGCGAGTTGCTTGAATACGCGTGATACATAGCAAAGAGATGAGGGTTCGTGTCTATCGTTCACAAGGTCCAGGTAGCTAAAGACTTGATGGAGGATATCGAGAGGTAGATACTCGGGCATTATGCTGTGATGCGAGCGGATAGATGACAGTAAGAAAAAGGACGCTGGGTTGAAGCAAGCATGAAGGGATGCGCTTTTCAATTATCATTGCGCTAGGCCCTTGCCCTAACCCCTTATCGCCGTCTTTATCAGGAATTGCGGTGGGAGGATCCGGTAACAGGGAGTAGCCTTAACAGCACTATCTGGCTCCCGGCGATGAGCTGCGATGGAGAATGAAAAGCAAAAAAAGCAATACTAAATCTCAATTGATTGAATTATTATTATTCGATCAAATGGTAATAGATAGTCATGGTGAGTTACAAGGGGAAAAACCGATGGCCGCATATTCTGCCATGTTACTCCGCTCCTGCCTCAAGCTTGCTGTTTCCCCAATCTGGCGACATGTCAACACCATTGGAGAACCTCACAGCTCAATCTCATGAGATGCATTTAGGAGCGCAACGCCTCTTTGAATGAATAGCCAAAGCGGTCTGTATTGATTGATAAGCATATGGGGTTACATTAATAGACACATACATTAGCCGCCTTCTATCTTCAAATAATTCACTGTACATCAACATCCATCCTACGAGGATTCCTCATCTTCCCTAAACAGTCCCATTTCCCTATTCAGCATCCTCACGCACTCTTGATAGCACTCACATGCGATAAAAAGCAGGAGGCCAACACCATCAAGAGCAATTGACACCAACTCCTCGACGCTATCTTTGAATCTCTCTCGATAAACCTCGTTGTCGTAGAGTTCTTTTTTGTTGAACTGGGGAAATATGTCGAGCACGGAAGTGCATGGTGACCACAGCGGCTGAATGTACACAACACCAAGGCGCTTCAGTCGTGTCTTGCGTTCCTTGACAAGGAAAACTACTAATTCAAAGATTGGTTCGTCACAGTTTTCAAGTATTAGCTCCTTTAGGCTTTCAGGAAGCTTGGGGCTAGTCGACAGACAAGACTGCTCGGTGTGTAGATGTTGAAGGTTGGAAAATGACGCAAAGTGGTCGAGCTTGGTATGGCGGTTTTGATCGTCGATTTCTAGGTCTATGTCGTCCAACTCAATATGTAATATCTCCAGGTTGTTCTTATGGAACTGTAGTGCTTGCATGATATCATCACCATTCACTGGGACAGATTCTAGCTCTTCATTAAGGAGCGGACATGCGGTGTACTTGAAGGACTTCACATATCTACTTGCGTTCAATATGCTCTCAAGCGTGTCTTTGTCCATACAACTGTCCACCAGTGAGATGGATGAGAGGTTTATTTTGCCCAAGGAGAGTTCCAGTCCAGACAAGTGTGAAGGTTCTCCGATGCAGTGTGTTACACCCAGGTGTTCCAGGAATGGGAGGAAGAACAGGTGCATTATGTCTCCAATTTCAAAGAATTCCAGTTCCGGGCCCTCGGAAACGAAAGAGAGATTTAGGTGCTTGAGATTGAAGTATAGACCTGCCACGTCCGGGTCAAAGACATCGAGTAAGCCTTTCAATCGCAATTTGGTGGAGGCTACCCTCAGTATTTCAATCCTCTCCGTGCTCGCAAAAAGAACCACTAGAACAGAGTCGAGGTCTCCATTGAGAATATTTCTGGAATAGTTGTGCTTGATATCGTCTGTTATATCCAGCCTCTGCAGTTCCTGGTGCAACATGTTGCGGGCGCTGGTCAATAAGGAACCACGCCGGTCATCTGATGATTCCGATACGCCGCCCGCTTGTACATAGACCTGTCGGACAGTATTTTGGAGGTCAGGCCGTGGGAGAATTGTCTGAGTAAATAGACTCAAGGAACCGAGGTCATTGGTTCGAGGACAAGTACAATCCCTGCGGCACTCAGTGGTAAACGTCTGAAATAGCAGTGGTTGAGCAAGAATCTTGAATGTGCGCGACATGCGACATAAAGAAAGGAGCTCCCGTCTATTCTCAATCGGGTCTAGGTATCTGAATACCTCAAGAAGGATCTCAGGGGGTAAGCGATTAGACATCTTGGGGCATTCGAAATAGATGAAAAGAAGTGATGGAGTATATATGATGGAGTATATACGATGGAGAAGATGATTGTTTACATAGCTTCTTTGTTTATCTTACCTTAAGCCCTCACCGCCGGTCTTCAGATTATGCCGCTGCCGTAGTTCTGGTAATCCACTCGATTACTTGCCGCTGTATACATATCGTGTTCCATGTACCATGCTGAGAGGCCGTGCCGACACCATTCTGACTTCATTCGAATACTCGCATTGGTACTTGTAAAGCACGCTTTTGACCTAGGTTTCGTCCTTCGAATAATACACATGGACCATTTCGATATTGCAATTACATACATTCTTGTGTCCAAATACAGCACCAATCAGCCAAGGTTCTATTAGGAATGTTCGTTCTCGCTTAGTACTGTCGATAAATCCTCATCATCTTCGTCGAAATACCCCTCATCATCGCTTGCCATTTCCAAATCCTCATCATCGTCACTGGCCATCTCCAAGTCGCTGTCATCTTCACTCGACTCTTCATCCTCACTCCATGACTCCGACAAACACCATTGATAGTCATCACACTCAGCAATGAACTTGAAACTACCCTTAGCAGCAATTCTTTCCAACTTGTGAGCCCGTATAAAAAAGCTGGTCTGCACATCCTCATCGTTTTCAAACTCTTCCGCGGTAGCTGGAAGATTCAGCATATAAGAGCATGGCGAGTTTGGCGGCTTGAAAGTGACTTTCTCAAGGGAATAGAGGTTCATCTTATTCTCTCAAACAAGAAACTTCAACATCTTGAACACAGGCCTAACGCGATCCTCCACCACAAGCGTTTCCAGTGATGCAGGCAAGTCCAGTTTATTGAATAAGCTACCCTGCTCGATATGGAGGTGCTTCATGTCCCGTTTATTGTTGACCGGATCCAGGTAGGCAAAGATCTCCAGAAGGATCTCCGGGGGTAGATGTGGAGGCATTTTGTCGAAGTTTCAACTGAATGCAAGGATAGACAACGAAATAAAAATGATGAGAAAAATGATCGGTATACGAAGACAGAACGGGGTGTTTTTATGTTGGATAGCTGCTTTGTTTATGTTTTGCCCTATGTCCTTGCCCTAAACCCTTATCGCCATGTCTCATCTAATCTTTGTTTGATGTTTCATGAATGCATCGATTGTTGTCATTTTTCTTTTAACATCTTTCTTTCAAACAGACTACTAGCAGAGAATCTTTCTCTCTGTTTCACTTTCTGTTTCAGTCGCTGCGTTGAGATGGCGAATCTACGGCAATTCCCGTATGTCTTTGTACGGAGACAGTGGTGTAATCTTTTGAGGTAACGTCGAAGCGCTTGTACTGGTCCTCATTTTGTACGCTGATATTCTGTAAAACAACTTTATCGTTTTAGACCTGTACTCGATCGTATCAAAAGTGGGCGAATTCTTCAAGCTGTGTAATGTTAGCAAACAGAAGCTGCAAAATGGAATTGATCTCTCCGGAAAAGAATGCTCTGGAAAACTTGAATTTGGCATCATCCTCAACTCCAGGTTTCTTCATTCTATCAAGGAGCATCTTTTTAAGTTCAGGTAGAATAGCGTCACACTCGTTGTCTCACAGTTTAAGTGTATCCTCTGCTTTGACGATTAATTGACGAACAAAATGTCTTGGGTCGATTCGCGCGAGTATCATCCGAGTAAATTCGGCTAGATCTATATAGTCGTTTACTGCATTTTCAGAGGGCTTCGTGGAAAAGACTTTAAAAAGTAACGGCTGGGCAGCTTGCTTGCATGCACGCGATATCCGGCAAAGTGATAGGAGGTCGGGTCTATTGTCGACTGGATCTAGCCAGGCGATGATCTCACAAATAATTTCGAAAGGCAGATGCTTAGACATTGTAATGTTTCTTGCTTGAATGAATCACTGAGAATAAGGAAAATGGATAATAGGTAAAGTGGTGGAGAAATGGAGGATCCTTTCATCCCTTTTATAGGACGGCTTCCTTGTCTCTTTTGCTCTAAATCGTTGCTTTTTGTTTGGTATTTGCTGAATTGTGTCACTACAAACAAGCAATGCTCAGCTTATCAAGATGAGAGAAAGGCCTCTATTCACACCCTGCCTAAGAAATATCAGTCTCTGTTTCAATTATTCACTTCAAAAACTGGATAACAGGTGCTTTTTGAGTACTTAAGAAACACTGGTATAGCTACTAGAAAGTGGCTGCTAGGCATTGAATTAAAAAAAAAAAAAAAAGGTTTTGTTTGTTCTGATTTCTGATTTAACTCTGTTTTCTTTTTTGATTCACTGTTTTTGACTCACTTTTGATTTATGT